GGATTAACAATATTTATGAGCATAGTATACAATATTATATATATATATATATATGTATTATTATTATTGTTATTTTTTTATTTATTTTTTTTTTGTATATCCTTTTTCTTTATTTTATTTCTTTCTTTTTTTAACATTTATTTTTCCTTTCTCTCACTTCTCTCTCTTTATTTATCTTTTTTTTCCATTTTCCATTAAATAAATAAATACATAAATTAAAACTCCCAGCCTAGCCATGCACGTGGTGGTGAATGATTTCCAGGGAGTCGAGGACTATATTTTCAGCCAACCTCGCTATGTCCTTAATGTCAACACCTGGTTCCTCGAGGAAGCTCCTTGTTCTTTTTGGAATTGTTCTTGGAGACCCAAACCAAAGGCCTCTCACAGTGAACTCTCTCTCTCCGAAGGTCTAAAGGAATTTCTCTTTTAAGGAAAGTGATACATTTATCGTACGTGTTCTTCGTTTCCCTTTCTACTTCACCCGCCTGATCAAAGGTCATTACTCTCAAAGCGGACAGTTGGATCCAACTGGACGACGTGTTATGAGGAGGGAGCTGTTCGGGCATTTTCCCAGCACATGGGCTGGTGTTTCAGACTCTCTGCCGCATTTACGGCAGAGAGACCCAACTTCTCTGACCTGTCCGCTGACACCTGGGACTCCACGCAGGAGTGCATAATTAATGTTTAGTTTTAGGGCATTCGCCCATTCAGATCCAGAAAGTACTTGTTTTTCGTAGATGTATCTGTTCGCTTTCGGGGTCTCTTTAAAATGGCGAACACCAATACCCTGCCACCTGCCCAATGCCCTCAAATGCATTTTCTCGTAGCGACTGCCGTAGAGCTTTCACATTTCGATGACCCTGATCAACCCCCAATCTCTCGGCACACTCAGCAACTTCTGCCAAATAATCGAAGGTGGATTGACAAAGGGCATCCGGTACATTGGACAGTCGCTGAGCAATGTACCAATGTTGAAGAGGAGCCTCCCATTGGCAGCGGATTAATCCCAATCCTCGGTATCTCCTGGGGGCATACAGCATTGCCGTGGAAGTATTCGCAGAGAGTCCAATAATAGCCTTTACGCTCCTGCGAATCATAATGTCGATGCCCTCCAGTATGGCAGGATGCAGCTTTGTGAGGGGCGCAGTTTGGAGAGGGTAAGACCCGAGAATAGATATTGATTGACAATGTTGAGTTTCTGCTCAGGTTTAAGTAAGCAAGAGGTTACCAGCTTGTTTAGATTATCATTTAATTTAGTCACCGAATCTTCCTTGAATTGTAGCTCTCCCGAGAATGTGCATCCTAAATATTTAATTGTATCTCCATTCTTCAATGTTTGGATGTACTCTCTATTCTCAAGGGATAGCTCCGTAGTTTCCAGCTCTCCTTTATTTAGAATGATGCCCATGCTTTTTTGAGGATTTATAGCCAGACCAATTTCTTGAAATGTCCTCTGTATGCTGACAATCACTCTTTCTGCAGCCCACCTGTCTCGCCCCGACGATCAAGATTCATTTCTGTTTAGTGTACCTAAGAAGAAACTCTACTCAAGAATCGTAGAAGATAGAATAAGATATATTGTTGATTGCCAGAGATGTAGATTGAGAAGCTCAAGTTATTCATGGGGCAGAAGATGCAAATTGGAACTGTCTTTACTTTAAGGCAGGTTATAGAGAAGTCCATCAAGAAAGAAAAATAGCTCTCTATCTGGTTATTGCCTCACACTTTGGATTGTGTTAATATCTGCTAGTCTTTCAGAAAAGCTCGTTATCCTTTCAGATTCCATAAAAATCTTGTGTAAATGCATTAAACAAAAGGAGAAATATTTCCCTTTCTCTATAGACCTCTCTATAACCTGCTTCAAAGTGAAGATAGTCCCAATGTGCAACTTCAATAGCAATTGAAAATAAAGTTGTTTTCACCATAATAAACCTCGTTTACTTAATCCAGACCTGTTGACTTGCCAATTTCTTCGAAAAAATCTTTCTTGCTGATAAAATGGTCATAAACCTGCATAATAAACCTGATTCGTCCCCTTAATATCATCAAAAGTAGAGATGGGCAGTACTCGATTACTTTCATGATTTGAGTAATTTTATTAGGAAAAAGTATCGAGTAGTTTCTGTACTCAGCCTGGCAGCGGCGAGTACTGAGAGTACTCACGCAGCGTCAATCATGATTTAGTTAAGTACAGAAAATACTCTCGCTGTTATATCGAATTACAGAAAGTACTCAGCCGAATTCCTACAAAGAGTACTTTTTATTTTTCAACTACTCCGTCATTATTATAAAGAGTAAAAATGTTTTCTTTTATTTCCTTCAATAATAGCGGCCATATTCAACCTGACCAACCCCGAGCCTCCATTAATCGATATTAGACTAACCATCATGTTTTGGGGGGCCTTTTTTATAAAAATATACTGTCGGATTTTAGATAGTGCCCCCGGGCATCGAATTTTCATAACTTTTCCGATTAAATCGATATCAGGGTCGACTTATGTTTTGGGGGGCGCTATTTATGAAAATGATATCGAATTTGAGATTGGGCCCCTCGTGCCCCGACTTTTTTTAACTTTTTGAATTAAATCGATATCAGGGTCGACTATTATGTTTTGGGGGGCACTTTTTATGAAAATGCTATCGAATTTGAAAATGAGCCCCCCGGGCCCCGACTTTTTTTAACTTTTTGAATTAAATCGATATCAGGGTCAACTATTAGGTTTTGGGGGGTGCTTTTTATGAAAATGATATCGAATTTGAGATTGGGCCCCCCGTGCCCCGACTTTTTTTAACTTTTTGAATTAAATTGATATCATGGTCGGTTATTATGTTCTGGGGGGCGCTTTTTATGAAAATGATACCGAATTTGAGATTGGGCCCCCCGGGCCCCGACTTTTTTTAACTTTTTAGAAGTAGTCGATATCAGGGCCGTCTATTATGTTTTAGGGGACGGATTTTATAAAAAAAAAAAATCCGACATCATTTTCATAAAAAGCGCCCCTAAAAACATAATAGTCGACCCTAATATTGATTTAATACAAAAAGATAAAAAAAGTCGAGGTCTGGGGGGCCCAAACCTAAATTCGATATCATTTTCATAAAAAGCGCAACCCAAAACATAATAATCGACCCTGATATCGATTTAACACAAAAACTTAAAAATAGTCGGGGCCCAATATCAAATTTGATATCATTTTCATAAAAAGCGTCCCCCCTAACCTGATTGTTGACGCTGATGTCGATATAATCCGGAAAGTTACAAAAAGTCGGGCCCCGGGGGCACTATCTCAAATCCGACAGCATTATCATAAAAGTCAAGTGGTGTAAAAAAAAAAAAAAAATGGTCCCCAAAGTTGATTAAATCCAAAATATTTTAATAATTCTTTATTTTATCGATTTACATTAATATCGATACTATTTTAAAAAACTATACCCCCATAAGATAACAATGGACTTAAACATGGAAGAAATATTAAATATTCTACTCCTGTAATTTTTATAATGAAATACTCGATTACTTTGAAAAGTACTCAGAGTAAAATATTCCCGAGTAGATTTGAAAATAGAAAGTACTCACGAGGACAGCTGATTACTTTTTGTACTCATCAATCATGAGGTCGAGTAGTGATTGAAGTACTCGATACTCGAACCGGGCGAGTATTGGGTAAATTACTCTGTAATTGTACTTTTTACTCAGAGTACAATTTTGCCCATCTCTAATCAAAAGTGCCCCAGATTTTGAACCCTTTTTTGTAGCATCTTGAAATATTTTGTTAATCTGTTTACTATATATTCGTTTAGCCATATAATGGATAATTGATCCTTGTTTTCTTTTCAAAGATTTTGGCACTTCATTTCTAGTTTGCTTAATGTATTTTTCCAATTATTCAGTTCAATTTCGTGTTTTTCCTTATTTTGAGACCAAATAATCAGTTCCGGTTACCTAGAAGAACTTATAGCATCGCCTTTCTTTGTGCAGAGAGAATAATGCATTCAATATTAAAATTTCCTATTTTTTATGATATGGTCTAACTTCCGAACAAAATAAAGGAAATAAAAATTTTTTTTATTAGTGATATACGAGATTTACTAAATAACCCATCAACTATTCATTATATGTATTTCAGATAAGATATTATTTTAGTTTATAAAACAGGTATTAATATGACTCATTAATACAATAGAGGCCTTCTTAACGACCTCCATATAGAATAAATGAAATTAATTTTAAAAAAATAAAATAATAAACTTGTAAAAATTTTTTTTATTTTTTTGTACAATTAAATTATTTCATTAATATTTGTTCGTTAATACAATCAATATAATGTACAAAAAACGTTATTATAGCACTATAACTAAGCCATTTATGAGCACTGGATGGTTTGGTAGAGGCCTGTAGGCACCCACGCCAGTGCCGCTTCTGTGCATTTTCTAAGCCAATTATTTTTTAATATTTCTTCATGTTTTATTATTTTCAGACTATCCAGCTTTAATAAAAGACCAACTATGATGAAATTAAGCCAAATGCTGATTCTCAGGAACCAAAAATATAACTAAAGTCAAAGTCGTCAGTCGGCCATGTTTGGTCACCATTTTGGGGCAGTTCCTTCACTTTTCTTTGTGAGAACATTGGTTTTTTTTAAATAAATAGTTACAAGGAACACAGCAATATGCAATTTATAGGGATGTGAGGGGGGGTAGGGGGATCTGGCCTTCTGGATAATATTATTAGTTTTTTAGATGATTAGCAGAAATAAATTAAATGATAAGTAATTTGTACAAAGCCAATCTGTGGGATTTTGAAACAAGGATATATTTACAAAAATATCCTTTGTGGCCACATACTTTTGAAAATCAGAATACACATTAAGATTTTTAACATAAAATTAAAAATAAGAGATAAAAATCAAAGAATTTGAAATAGTGCAGGTATTATATAAATGTAGGTATACAGCTACAGATCTATCAAGAAATGTGGTATTGTGTGAGGGAATACTTACAGCCAAATAAACCATTGTATAAGCAGAAAATGATGAGTGGCCAGAAGGAAAAGAAAGTCTGAAACATAAGAGAGCACAGTTTGTAATTAAGCAAAAGATAAAATCCTAATTTACTATTTATGAGCTAATTAGAGGTTATTAAATTAAATATTAGTAATTCTTTTCTACAGTTTTTATTAAATATTCAGTAACATTTTGAGTGTAAATGATAGCCTTGGTCCTTAGCTGAAGGATTGATGAGCTACAAACTTTTATCTTGGGTAGGGTCATTTTTAGTACAGAAAAAGGAAACCTAAAAGAAAGAAAAGATAAATTTCTGTACTATTTGACTACTTTATATAATACTAATTCATTTATATGTTTTCTCAGTAGGATTGTAAATTAATAAAATCCTAAAACTATTATTTTAGCTGAAATTTCATTTTTTGTTAAATTAAAAGTAATAAAACATTCTCATGTATTTTTAAATGTAGACCGGAATCCAAAGGATATCATGTTTCCAGAACATATTAAATAAGAAAATTAATACTAACCATTGATTGGACGAACTGATTAATTTTAGCTGTAAACATACTTATTATATTAACCTTGTGCATTATATAATACAATATGATTGGCTGGCCTTGTGGAGACTGAATAAATTTCATTTTTCATCAGAGTAGATGTAAGAGTTTATTTTTTTAATTCTACCTTCTCAAAAGTAGACAAAATAGAACAAAATCACTATTTAAAATAACCCACCTGGTAAATACTGATATAGTTTTTCTTGAGAAACCACAATATTACCATCAAATTAAAAATGATCATACAATAACTTTACGTACCTAGATTCTCGGAGAAGTTTAGGACTAGTTCCTTTGCATGTGAATTCCACAAAATATTTATATTTAAAATCTGGCATACTGCAGTCAACATCAGGATCACAAACAGTCATAAAGTGTGGTCTAAGCCTACCAATAGAATACTTCCCAATATCAGTAATTAACTGGGAACAAACTGCACCAAAACAAAAGTAACCAATCTCTTTATAGCATCTAATAAGCCACGGTGGTACTTTCCAACCAAAAAGAAACAATGATCGTCTCTTAGAATTGAATTTCTTCAATAAAGACACTTCAAAAATAAGTATCTGAAATAAAAATAAATACAGAATAGTAATAAAGTTAAATTTTTAAATATTTTTCTATTTCGTTATATATACGTTTATACGTGTGTGAGCTCTTTTGGCAATAATAATTATTGTTGATCACAAAAACTCGATTAACACCATAATTCCTTTCACGTGTAATATATGTACTTGAGTATATGTCACTATTATGTAAATTATTTTTAATAATAATAAAGGCAAAACTAATTTCAATTACTCCAAAATGAAATTAAATGAATATCAAAACTAACTTTGCAGTAAAATACTGTTTCCTATCTCTAAATACACAATTCACTGACCCCTAGATGACCGAAAATAAGACAGAGTTAAAGAGAAATTATTTCATATTTTTCATAATATTATTTCACTTATTTGTTTTTACTATTATTAGAGTCTTAAAACTACTTACTTTCCGATTGCAACAAATGGGAACTACTTTGACCCATGTCTAAATCAGATATAATAACTAATATTTTAATACTTATAAATTTTCCGACTCTTCCTTCATTTATGTGCAATGTTTCTGCATTTGTTAAACTTTTTTAAATGGATGACCGATTTTGAGAATTGTATACGGAATTAAACTAGTCAAGAGAGCCCATCTCTCCCTCCCCTAAGATCAATAGTACAAGAACCTAACCCTTTCCCCTTTTAAGCTATTTTATTTTTTACCTTTTCATACAAACAGAGCATGGAAAAGTATAATTAGAAAAGTCGTAGATCATACATAATTACACTTGTTGCGGTCTGTTCCACATTTTCTCCTCACCCCTTATTCTAAAACTTTTCATTCCGAAAATTCATAACACCATTTAAATGCGCCCCTCTCAAAAATTCAAAAACCCGTCAAAATATGCTCCCTAAAAAAGTTTTATGACACAATTTAAGCCATAAAACTCCCTTTTGGGCACTCCTGAAACCAGTGATAGAAACAACCATTGTAAAGATTTTTAGATCTTTTAATTGTAGTGTAATTTTACTGACTTTGTAAGAAAAATAAAATATTAATAATATATTTCAAGAATAAACCTTTTCCAAGACATATTGTCTAAATTTTTTATATCGTCATTCATTATGAGTGATTAATTATTAACTTCAACATAAATTCATGGAAATTGGTGACAAAATGTGCCAATAAAAGATATAGATAATAACAATTCTGTTACAAAGTGACCAGTTTCGGGAGTCAAACATTAGTGATCTAATTAACTAAAATTATAAATGTTGCCCTATAATAACTTAAGTCACATCGTCTGAAAACCATAAAATGAGGTAATGTAACAGAATGTATCAAACTTAAACTGAAACTTACTACTGAGATTGGTAGTCCAATTCCAACAATATAAAGAGCATAATCAGGTACTGTAGAAGGATGGAACGGGTATCTAATTGATAAATCATCACAGTAGAATCCTCGCTTGTATGGTACTCCAAACAATCGAAATATCAAAATAGGGAAACCAACTAAAATTAATAGTAATCAGTTAAAACCATAATATAAAATATAAAAACTCTTCAAGAAACATACTGGTATATAAATTCTTAAAATAATTCATGGACCATATAATTATTATTAATAAATTAATTGATTTAAAAATTAATTAAACACTAAAATTGAGTAATCTAATGATAAATAAATCCTTAGATTATGAATAAATTGACCAGAAGGCACTTAATAATTGTAGGGCCCCATTCTTACAATTGGAAATTAGAATATACTTCTGTTTACAAAAAGTAAAGTTAATGATTTAACTTCAAACGGAACCTGTTTTAAATCAATAAATATTTTTGTGAACATAAATATCATATTTCAATTGGGATCAACACACAAATTCTGCCATGTATGAGCCTGCAGTTGTAAACTAATTTATCTAACTAATCTTATAAATTCATACGTCTTATGATACATTATATTAAAAACCTGATCAACAGTTGAAGATGAGCTAATTTCTAGATGTTTAAAAGAACAAAACTAAATTTGAGTCAGTTTTTAACAATAATGAATAAAATTAATAGCAGTCTCAAAACATCCCACATCAAACCCGCCAAGAATCAACTCTCACACCAACATTCATTCTAAATATTTTCATATGACTACAAATAACTTAAGAGAGCAAAATATAATCTTACTCTAGACTCATTAAAACATACTTTTAAAGTTGTTAGTAATCCACTTCTCTGAAAAAATGTAACTGCGCTTTTTGTAACTGCAATCTTTAAGCTAGTTAACAAAATGATTAGTAATACACATATTTTCTTAAGATTCATGTCAAAATGGTATTCATGTATTGTATTTGAAGAAATCATGTTTTCATTTACTAATTTATCAATCATATACCATAAATATATACTATTTAAAAACATAGTCCTAAAATTAAAAAGTACCCTTAAAAACTATCAAAATTGAACATTTGCCAATCATATTTTAACAAACTTAAACAAGGTATTAATTTGAAAATCATCTTATAGAATAGAAAATCATCTTATTATCTTATAAAATACTCTATGATCAATCATCTGACAATAACATAAAAGCACAATCAAATACCATACAATAACAATTAATAAAACATATTTCAAAAATTAACTAAGTTTGATAAAGATATATATAAAAATGTAGAAAATATTTAAATGATACACTAATGAAATTAATCATTAATAAGTTGAAGTATATGAACAGGAAAACAGTAGAAAATCTTTTTAGTGCTAAGTTATATTTTTATTCAGAAATTACTTGAGTAATGAGCATATTCAAAAATAATAATTACAACTTACCGGCAAAAACACACAAAAAGTCTGTAATTACTCTTTTATAAATTTCTTTTGAATCTAGATCCATAACTTCAACAAAATGAGTAATCCGAAAACAGGAAAGGTGCTACAGTTTATAAGGATATACTTGAATTAACATTAAATTACTTAAGAGGCCCTCAAAGTCAAATTAAATACAGCTGTGGTCTAACATAACAGTAAACAAATCGATTTAAACCTCAATGTCGTGTTTTCCTCGAAAGGTCATTTAAAAGACCATCACGTTAAAGGTATACATAATGTTTAAATGTATCCATTTTTTTTAAACATTACTTCGCTCTACTTTCTACTTTTTTATCTTAAGATAAATCCATAAAACACCCTGTATCCTTTCCTCTCAATCATTCTTTCTCTCTCTCTCTTCATATATATATATATATATATATATAAGTTAAGCGTCTCCGGGCTTTAAAAATAAAAAAAAAAGAAGGAAAGAGGAACGAGAAACAATACTCACGGCTTCTGAATAAACACTGCTTTATTCGTCCAATAATCTGCCTTATATACAATTGCTATGTTTATTTACATTACAAGATGGTATTAAGGCTGATATCGCCAGTCTCCGGTCTTTATCTCCCCCCCACCAGTTTACGAATAGGATTTTCGGAAACTTATAAATTCCCAGATCGGAGCCACCGGTATCAGCCTTAACCCTTTACAATTATTTGTACCAGTATAAACTTAAAGTACACCAAACCTCACTTCCACTCCGCTGGAACGAGAAATAAATAAAAAGAAATAAACCACAGAAAGTAAACACACAACGTCTTATTAACAATGGAACAGAGCTCTTAATCCTATAAAAATTACAATCACCTCTATTATGCTGCCATATCTTTATTTACAAGAACAACAAAAATAATAAAAAAAAATGACATCATCAACAGTAATAATAATAAAAAAAACATATTTTTTTATAATACGCGATAAGGGTACTACGAATCAATTGGTTTCTGTACCGGTTCTAACATTGGGAGCTTCAATTGTTCAATATGAACAGTTCTCCTCTTCTTAGGTTCGTTAATGCTTTCAATGGTTACCAGATTATGCTCCCTAATAGCAATCACTCTGAATGGGCCCTCGTACCGTAACAATTGTTTCCCTCTGTTGGTTCCAATTCTACGATACACTATTGTTCCGATTTTTAATTCTCCCATTCGGTCACGTACCTGCACATTCTGCCGCGCTACCCGCTTCTCCTTTTCCCGCTGAATTCTCCCCGCTACCTTCCCCCACGTCTTTCCTACCTCTACCCTAGTATTCTGGATTTGCTCTACGAGATGTTCATTGGTCGTTGTTTCCCCCCAATCTCTCCTTGGCCTGCGCATCCCGAATAGTATTTCCACAGGTGAAAACCCCGTTACGGAGTGGATCGAATGGTTGTAAGCTGTTACGGCTTTCTTCATCGCAACATCCGGCTCCAACCCTTTCTCTCCCTGATATACACGGATGTGGTCACTCAACGTGCTGTGCAAGCGTTCGATTCCTCCTCTACTCTTAGGGTGTCCCGGTGTGTTATAATGCCACACAACCTCTAACCTTTTCACCTCCTCCCTAATCGCGGTATTGTCGAATTCTCTACCACCGTCTGATGTGATCCTCTCGGGAACTCCGTAAAACTGTATCCAGATTTGTAGGGCTTCCGCAACTGCATTGGCAGACTTGTCCATGACCTGATGTGCCATAGCTACTTTACTAAAGGTGTCGATGACCGTGACCCACTTGAACCCTTTCCAGGTGAATGTATCGATCTGGAGGTCTTGTAGCGGCATATTCCCTGTAGGTGTCTCTTCCTGAACTCCTCTGGGGGGGTGTCGATCATACTTTGTGCGCATACATACCTCGCATTTCCCGATGATTCCTTGGATAGATTTTTTCATTCCCCACCAGAAATACTTTCGCCGTAATGCCTGCAACGTCTCGTTGACGCCTCGGTGGTTGGTCTTCCCCTGGTGGTATGCCAATGTAATTGCTTGTTGCTGCTCCTCATCCTGTACGGTTTCCACTGCATACTTGCACCGGATGATCGTTCTATCCATGCCTATCCGCTCGGATCTCCACATCCGCTTTATTTTCTCCCATACCGTGTTGTTCCCAACATAGAGATGGTGTGTCTTTCCCGGCTCCGTGGCGTCCTTCAGTGCCGTACGGATTTGCTCCTCGCTCACCCCGGGTTGCGACCAAATGACGCGAATCCTACTTTTCCCGTATCTTCGGTAATCTATTTTCATGATCCCTGTTGTCCTGGTTTTCCAGATTACCTGTCTATGCTTGTCGTTGATGATTTCGTCTATTTCCTCCATCGCCTCTGGTCTTTCCTCCGCTGAGCTATCTTCTTCCGGGGACCCCTCCCTGTCCTCTATACTGACGGTATCATCTGCCCCTTCACCCTCAGGAGTCCATTCCCTCAAGAATTGGCGCACGTCCCGCGATGGACCTCCTCCGTCCTCTTCTACCGCGTTGATCATGATGGCCCTAGAGAGCCAGTCTGCCACCACGTTTTCCTTTCCCGGCTTATACACCACCTCCATGTTGTACTGACTAAGGAATTCTTTCCATCTCGTGACCCTCGCAGAGGTTTCCTTAAGTTTTCCTACCCACTGAAGGGGTTTGTGATCGGTGTGGACTCGAAACTTCCTCCCAAATATATATGGCCTGAAATGGTCGATGGCCCACACTATCGCGAGTAGCTCCCTCTCTAGCGCGCTGTACCGTGATTCCGCGCTCGTAAGTCGTCGGCTCGCGTATGCTATCGGACGTTCACCCTCACTTCTGCCCTGAGATAAAACGGCCCCCAACGCGTATTCGCTCGCATCGGTGGTGACGTTGAACTGCTTCTCAAAATCCGGGAACGCCAATACGGGTTCTGCCTGCAACCTATCCATGCATTTCCGAATATTATTTTCCATTTCCGGTGTCACCACGATCCTCGCGCCTTTCTTCAGCAAGTTATTGATAGGTACCAAGTATTCTGCCATCTCAGGTACGAATCTCCTATAATAATTCAGCGTCCCGAGAAGCCTACGAATCCCTTTAACGTCCCGTGGCACCGCCATTCGTGTGATAGCCTCCACCTTTGCCGCATCCGGTCTGACCCCCTCGCTAGAAATAGTGTGGCCTAAAAAATTGATTCGCGTTTGTCCCAACAGGGACTTCTCACTTGACAGTTTCAGCCCGAATTGTCGCAGCCTTTCGAATACCGACCTCAAATGCCCCACGTGTTCGGCTTCCGTTCTGCTAAAAATCAGCAGGTCGTCCATGTATACTTGACATACGGAGTCGTCGATCCCCCTCAGAAATTCGTCCATCAGGCGTTGAAACGTTATGGGCGCATTCTTCAGACCAAACGGCATTCTGGTGAATTCGTAATGCCCCCTTTCGAATGTAAACGCCGTCTTATGTTGGTCCTTCGGGTGCATCCGTATTTGGTGGTATCCCGCCTTGAGGTCCAACGTGCTAAACACCACGGCCCCACTCAACCTATCAAGTATATCTTCGAATCTAGGGATCGGGTACTTTTCGTCTACCGTGTTGTCGTTCAACCTACGATAGTCCACTACCACTCTGTATTTTTCCTTATTATCCCCGGCGCTGCCTTCTTTTTCACTGCCCACAGGGGACTATTAAATGGCGAGGTGCTATCGACTATGATCCCTTGCTCTTTCAGGCTTTCCAATTCCTCCCGAATATGCTGCCTCATCGCCTGCGGGTATCTCCTTTCCTTTACGTAGGTCACCCTATCTTGCTTCAGTGGAACTTCGTGTACCGTCTTCCCTGTTACCCCCAATACCTCGCCCTCCCTGAAGAAAATATCTACGAACTCCGCTTGTAACGCCTTTCTCCAGTCCTCCACCCTGTTCACCGCTCCTATCCGCACCCTTCTTTCTCTCGCGACCCCTATACATCCAAATTTCCTCTTTCCCAGCCTGATACTCCAAGCTCCTCTACGGTTTCTAATGCTTACCCCTACCTGTCCTAACAGATCACACCCTATTATGACTTGGTACTCCCGCGCCATGCTCTCTACCACATGCACCCTTAGCTCCCCCTTTTTCCCTGCCCACCGGTCAAGCGTAATTGACGCTTCCCCTTCTACTTTACAGGGACCACCCAGAGTGATTAGCTGGCAGCCACAGTTTTGTATCCGGAGTACCCTCTCGCTCCCGCACACTCTCCCCAACGCCCCCCGAGTCAAGATAGTACTCGAGCTCCCTGTGTCCACGAGACACTTCACTCCCCCATCTACTTCAATAATCGGCAACCAGCATGGCTTACCTCTAATATTGTTGCAGGTTGCTGTGCGGTCGCCTCTCTGCTGACACCCTTCTCAGATGCCACCTCGCTTCCTCCTTACCGCCGTCGCTCGTCGTTGCTCGCTCCGTTGGCTGCTCCTGCCTCCTTCGCCTCCACTGCTGGCTGGCTCGTCAGTCTCCGTTCCCGACGTCCCCGACTCCTCGGTTGCCTCTTCCGAAGATCCGTCTCTCTGCTGCATCCTAGCTCGTTTTTTCAACTTTTGAGCGTTCACCTCCATTGGCTCGTCTAGAGGTCTCTCCCTCCTGCGAAACATGTACGGGCACTGTCTGGCAATATGCCCTTCAGTCCCGCACTCGAAACATCTAGTGCGCGGACATTGTGCTACCAAATGTCCCGGTTTCCCGCACCCGTGACATTTTCGGTCTTCCCTCCGGGGTCCATTCCTAGGCCTGGACTGTCCGGATCTTCTCTCGCCCGTCGTGGCTTTTTCTCCGTTCGGGTGTTTCATTTCCCTCTTCCTCCACCCTATCTGGGCTGTCCGGGGTCGTCTGTCACTCACTCGGGTCCACCCTGGTTCTTCTACTTCCATCCGCGTCTCTTCCTCTCTTGCACTCAGATCTATCATTTCTTGGGCACACTCGAGGAACGATCGCTCTCTAGGCAGTCCGTCCCTTCTCCCAGTCTCCTTAGCTAACTGAACCTTGAGTATTGTCGAAAGGAATTCCATCCTAGCCTCGACCTCTCCCACACTCATGGTTTCACGCATTTTCTCAGTTATGCGGTTGTACTTCGCCACTAGTACCCCCGCATACTGTCCTCTTGTTTGGCGTTGGGACCGACACTCCCTAAACATTTGGAAGATATCTTCTTCCGGCGTCCATCGGCCCCCTCCGAAAGCCTTCTTC